TGGGGGCAGCGCCCGGTGAGTGCGGCGCTGCGGGGGGAGGCTTCTTTGCAGTGACGCCCGATAAGAGCAACATCCCCTTACCAGCAACACCGGGCTGGAGCCCCCACGAGCGCCAGCTTGTAGTGGGCCTGGAGGCTAAAGACAGGCCAGCAGGGGTTGATTGGAATGGGAGGGGTTGTCCCACAGCAAACCCCAGCCCCTTGTCCCGTAGCAATTGACAGGGTGCCTTGGCACGAGGAGGGTACCTCCAGATTTTTGCTGCATACGCCCGGTGTGTGTGAACTGTTCTGACGCAAGTTGGATCTCCGGCTGATCCACCCCAGGTGAAACCAGTTGTCTGGTTTTAGCTGGAGAGGCCGGGCAGCTTTGATGACCAAGCAAACAAAGGCTGCTCTGGTTCTCCTCAGATGGCATCCCAGCAGGGGTGACACATAGGGGGTGCATGCGGGTGCACATGCACCTCCTGCACGTGGCGGTGCATCCCCTGCAAAAAGGTGCCGCTGACAGTATTGGTGGTGCCTGCGGGCAGTTGCTGCTTGGCACCCTGCTCGGGGTGTCTAAGGGCAGTCCGTGATCGCCCCTGGCTGCTGTCAATGCTGCCAGTGGCACCTGCGGGTGGTTGCCGACCCCTGGTTGGTGCTCGCCCCCACCTCTGCCACCAACAGTGCTGGCAGCGTCTGCGGGAGCTCCCCTGCTCACTGCCCCTGAGCTTCTGCCGGGGGCACACACTGTTCATGCATCCCGGGAAGGACAGCACCGTACCTAGGCTGCTGGTGGACCCAGGCGAAGTTTTAGTATCAGGCCCCCGCTTTGCCAGACATGATGATAATAAAAAAAAATTACCCTTTCTGTCCAGTCCCTGGGCAGCCACTCAGGTCACTCATGCCTGTGTCTGGCCCTAATGAAGGGGGTAGTTGCCTACAGAAGATCAGGCCACTGAGTCAGTTGGCATATCCAGGGCATATCCAGACACACGGGCATGTGCAGTTTGTGGCTCCACAAGCCTCTTTGTGGAGCCACAAACTGCATGTTACATGTTAAACCATGGGCAGTGCTGCTAAGTTGTAGCATGCCAACAACATTTGCTACTGGGATCTCCTAGTAGCAAACTCCTCCCCACCCCCCCTCAAAAAAAAAAAAAAAAAGCAGCCGAAAGCATGCCAAAATTGTGTGCCAGGACAAAGTGCTGCAGAGCCCCTGAGCTGAGGTGCAGTGTGCCCAGGCAGCCAGAGAGTTGCTGGCTGGGGCGCAGTGTGCCTCAAGACTGGGGAGCAGGCAACCTTGGGCTGGCTACTCCCCTGTCTGCATGCCTCAGCACAGGGAGCCCCCGCACTGAGGCACTGTGCCCCAGCTAGGGAGTGGCCCATGGAGTTAGGTGGCCTGTGGAGCCCTCAAGCTGAGGCATACTGCACCCTAGCTCAGGGCCTCCACAGCGCATGGAGATGACTGTTCCCCCATCTTCATGTGTTGCTCTCTGGCTGGCTGGGATGCAGGGTGCCTCAGCTCAGGGGCTGCCTGCCAAGCTAGCCCTGTACTGAGGCACCCTGTGCCCTGTCCAGTCCCCCTCCTTCTCTGTAGCACATGGAGCCCAGCCAGGAGCTGGGAGGACCTGGGCATGGCCCACAACAAAGGGCATGTGCAGGGACAGGTACTACAGCACAAAGTAGTGGCACAAATTTGAGTTGCTACTACTTGTGCCGCTCCAAGCACATGCCCATGCTCGTCTACATGTGGCCCAACAGGCCACTGTGCCCTAGCTCAAGGCAACCCAAAGGTGGCTGTGGAGTGCTGAGTGCTTAGGTTGTGGCTTACAGGCCCCAGCAGCTGCCTTTCTTGCTGCCATGTGTGGGGCAGGGCCTCTGTGTGCCACCTGGGAGGGAGGATCCTAGGGCTCTGTGTGCTGGTGGTAGGAGCCTGTGTGTCAGGAAGCACAACGGTGGTGCACATGCTGCACCATGCAGCCCACACAGTGTGACATGGTGGCCGCACACTGGTGCTGTATGTGCCCCCCGGCCATGCCAGAGCTGGACAAGCCTATGCTACCTTCTGTCTGATTATTGAAGACTTGTGCAGATTACCACCTCTGTCTTCAGAAAGAAGTGTTAGAAAAATCTATTTTAAATCCTCGATTTTCCTGTAACTGGCCATAGAAGAACTCTGCTTCCATACAGGGTACTTGTACAGGACATCTCTGTTTTTATTATGAATCCTTTCAAGGCAACAAGGTTAAAAATGAAGCTGTCTTATTCCTGTGTTTGCTTTCTGGTGTAAAAGGACCTGAAAGTGCTTCTTTTTGCAGTTATTTGGGGATCCCTTTTATAAGGTAAGTTTGGAGTCCTTATGAGAGCATAAAAATACAAGTTCCTAACTGAAAGGACACGTCTGCTGAGATTAAGACTTTGGGTAGATGACAGCAATGAGTACTCCATGATCCAACTGAGCTGAACCCCAGTTATTAGTTAGTCCCTTAATTGGCCAAACTTACTGTAGTAGAACTCTCCTGCTGTCCTTGGTGCTGGGAATTTGCAGGTAGAACAAGCAACTCCAGAGCTCTGGTTTCTCCTCAAATGACATCTGATGAAGTATGTTGTTGCCTACAAAAGATCATGCCTTTGGACCAGTAAGCTTCTACGGGCATGTCCCCATGAGTGTGCATGTTCCCTGCAGGACAAATAACAGCGGCACATATTTGTGCTGCTGCTATTTGTCCCTGGGCACACCCCTGCACACGTGCTCGGGCGTGCAGTAAATTGCTCTGGGTGGGGTAAGGGAAGCTAGGGCCAGCACCTGGGCTGGCCCCAGCAGCCTGTCCTGGGGGCCTTCTAGGGCAGCAGTGGCAGCGATCCAGGTGCTTGGAGCCTGCCCAGTAGCCAGGCTCTCTTTCTGGCAGCATGCACTGTTGCTATGTATGCTGCATCACTTTTATTAGTGGCATGTTTTTTTGACCCTGGGATCTCCCAGGGTCAAAAAAAACACTGCCACGCTGCAAATTAGCAGTGCAGCAAATTAGCATGTGCTACATGTATTTTGCGGTGCCGCAAGCTGCGCATGTGTACTCATGGGGACGCGCCGTAAGATGTCACTTTTCCCTACCTTTTGCTTAACTCTTTCCTCATCAGAATTCTGTTAAAATGCGAATGGATCAATAGTTGTACCAAAGAGCACAATCCTTAACGTAAAACTAACAAAGAATAAATTGCATTTTTGTAGTTAAAGCTTCACTAATTTTTGCAGTAGCTGTCCTTCATGATTTCTCAGCTGGCAAAAAGAAATGGAATTTATTTTTTAACAGCAGTCAAACGTAGAAAGCAAATTCTTTTTCAAGGACTCCCTTGACACTTGCAAATATAGATGTTAGAGAATTTTCAGTGGCAAGTCTCCTGGATTAAAAAGTGTTACAAATAAGAGTGCATGGAAGTGTCAGATCTTTTTCCAGTTCTTGATGGGATAATTATCCTTTTTTCTCCCAGATTTGAAGAGCATAAATGTGATCTTTTATAACCTTTCCACTACTGCTGATCACAGTGTCTCCTACAAAGAACTCAAAGACCTCCTAAAATCCCAAACCATTCATATTGATGTCCGAGAGAAATGGGAAATTGGCAAGTTTGGAAAAATCCCTGGGTCCATCAATATACCATGTAAGTGATCATAAACATGACTAAATAGTCAAAAGGTCAAAGACCACTGAGAACAAATTTGCAAACAAGTAGTGATGACTAGGGATCTCCGGAATTCACATTGGAAGCGTGTGGCATTAAGGCTTCTTTAATTTTGGAGTTCCCACCATGTGTCCCTCCCTACTGCCACTGTCGCTGATTGGCAGAGGGGACAGCATTGCTCACCACCTGCGCCTGAAACTGCGGCTGTGGTTTTCACCTCCTGCCCATCAGGCGCAAGCGGCAAGCGATAGGTCCCCTCTGCCAATCAGCAGTGGGGGCATGTGGGGGAAACTCCAAAATAAAAGAAGCTGTCTAGTGATGACTTCATAAAAACTAATTATTAGAAATCTTCACAAACCAAACTCCTTCATGGATTAAAATGCGGGGGTGAACAAAATATGGCCTGTGGGCTGGATCCGGCCTGCCAACTAATTGGATCTGGCCTACAGGGGGTGCCCACCAATTAACTGGACATGGTCCGTGGCTGTCCCTGCAGCGCTCTGCATGGGGTGAGCCCCACCCAGGGCAGCCTATGACACACTCCCATCCATGCCTCCTGGCCCTGGCCCTGGCCCCGGCCAGCACACACAGCTGCTTCCTGGTGGCGCTTCTGGTCTGGATGCAGCTACTGGGATGTGGCTTGGCACCCCCGCCCCCGCTGCTGGCCTCTAGCAGCAGCTCCTCCTGCCCTGCTGCGCTGCTGGGGGGGCGGGGCAGCTGCAGGTGGGTGGCTCCAGCCTCTGCAGGTGGGGCTTCAGCTCCAGCTGCCTTCCACCCACTTGGTTGCCTGCAGTTGGCTGCTCATTGTGTTGGGTGGGTAGGAGCTGCTGGACATGGGGGGAGCTGAGCAGCACCTGGGCAGCTGCAGCCACACTAGGAGCAGTCCAGCCGGGAACCTGTGTGCACTGGCTGGTGCTAGGGCTGGTGGGTGCAGGAGGAAGCTCAGTATGGGATGCCCCAGGCAGGAGCAGATGGGGCTCGGACCCATGTGGACTGTCTTGGGGATAGCCACAAACCGCACCTACGCTGCACCACCCAGGGCGAGCTGTGCTACATGTGTCCCCTGCCCACCCTTTGTTACTCCCCCTTCTTCCCCCCCAGCCAGCTCCCCAGACTTAGGGGCCAGGCAACACCCCCCACAGCTCATACAATTCCCTATACACCCCACATTGTATACAAGAGTAAGACTTTATTCTGGGGTGTAGCTCAGACTTTATTTTGAGCTATTACGCAATTGCCTCTATATACACTACTCAAAAAAATGAGGACAAATACTATTTTTTTAATAAAATTAAAATACAGTAGATGTTTGATTTTTAGTATGTGACTTGTTTTTTTAAATCTATAATTAGTTAAAATGATATCTTCTGAAAGATTTTGGGTGTGCAGCCCTAGACAGCTCACCAAAAGTTGTTAAGTGACCCTCCAGCCAAAATAATTGCCCACCCCTGATTAAACATAAATGAGGCTTTGCATGTCCTTACAGTGGGTGAAGTTGTGGAAGCTCTACGGATGAACCCAGAAGACTTCAAAGAGCAGTACAATCAAGATATGCCTGCTAAATTGGACCACATAGTCTTCTCCTGCATGGCAGGAGTGAGAAGCAAGAGAGCATTGGATATTGCCATGTCTTTGGGTTTCAGCAGGTAAGCTAACTGCAGTCCAAGTAAATTCCTGTATAAAGGATAGGTTAATGTTCTTCATTGAAAAGGCTCCTGCTGA